CTATATTTTCTAGTTTCTTCTATTCGACAATTCGAATTTCAGAAGACTTCTATATTCTTTCTATTTTAATCTATTAAAATAATTTTCTATTATATTCTGTGCTATTCTATTCCTTTGTTAAAGTGTTCCTAAACCTTGGATCCTGCATTCACTACATCTGGTCTCCCCGGACCCTGCATTCACTCTATCCACTCTCCCCGGAACCCGCATTCACTCTATTCGCCCTCCTCGGACCCTGCATTCACTATATCTGGTCTCCCAGGACCCTGCAATCACTATATCCGCTCTCCCCGGACCCTGCATTCATTATATCCGCTCTCCCCCGGACCTTGCATTCACTATATCCGCTCTCCCCGAACACTGCTGCATGACTGCGCAATTGTCAGTTAAAGTATCGCAGCGCTGTATTGAAAAAAGGGGTTAAAGTGTTACTAAACCCAGGACCCTGCATTCACTATATCCGCTCTCCCCGGATCCTGCATTCACTATATCCACTCTCCCCGGACCCTGCATTCACTATATCCGCTCTCCCCGGACCCTGCATTCACTATATCCAGTCACCCCGAACCCTGCATTCACTGTATCCGGCCTCCCTGGACCCTGCATTCATTATATCCGCTCTCCCCGGACCCCGCATTCACTATATATGGTCTCTCCGGACTATGCATTCACTATATCTGCTCTCCCCGGACCCCCGCATTCACTATATCTGGTCTCCTTGGACCCTGCATTCACTATATCCGCTCTCCCCGGACCCTGCATTCTTTATATCCGCTCTCCTCACACCCTGCATTTACTATATCTGGACTCCCATAGTACACAGAACATAGAAATGCATTTATTTTGCTATCTATAAACTGCTAAATACCTTTTCTCATCAGCAGTTAGAGCAGTCTTGTGACTTCTGTCAGTGTCAAGCTGAGCATTGGTTACATCTTGTAGGAGGAGATTTAATTCTTCTGTAGGAGGATGCAGAACCCCTGACCTCTGTCTGGACACTGCTGATTTGCCCTGTGCTGATCACATGCAGTCTCTCAAGAAAAAAAAAAATACACACTAAACTGAGCATGTGCAGCTTGCCCCCAAGGCTCTGTTCTAGCAGGAGATATTTAGTAGACACTGGAAGACAGGGAGGATCAGAGAAGACAGGATCAAACAGCCTTTTTACACAATGCAGAGGATTAACCCCTTAGATTCCACAGTGAGTATAACAAGCACACTTTCCTGCATATACAGACTGATTGTACTGTTGTGGGTTTAGTGCAGTGTTTCTCAACTCCAGTCCTCATGGACCCCCAACAGGTCATGTTTTCAGGATTTCCCTCAGATGAAAACAGCTGTGGTAATTACTAAGGCAGTGAAACTGATCAAATCACCTGTGCAAAATAATGGAAATCCTGAAAACATGACCTGTTGGGGGTCCATGAGGACTGGAGTTGAGAAACACTGGTTTAGTGACACTTTAACTATTCTTTTCTTTTATTTTTTATTATATTCTTTTCGAAATTCGAATTTCATAAGGCGGGTATGTTCTAACACTGATAAACACATTCTTCAATGGAAATCAGCAATAGTCAGCAATATGTTTACACTTCGAATTTGTTTTCTAATTCGCATCGAATTTGATTCAAATTCAGATCCTTTGTTATTTTAGATGAAATTTTTTTCATTATTTCGTATTCGTTTAATGCCTTACTATTGTCATTCGGATACATCCGAATAACGAAAATTGTGTCCAAATTTTGATTCAGAACTAAACCAACCGCACATGTCTAGTTGCCGCACTTCACCCTTTCAGGCAGTTCATCCCAAAGGTGTTCTGTAGGGTTGAGGTCTTTATGTAGGCCAAACTTGTGTTCCTCCAAACTGGTCAAACTGTGTCATTACCCATATGTAAGAGAAATATATTTGAAATGTATGTTAAAAATATTTTCCCAAATATATTAACACATATTTGAAATGCTACAATTTTGGCCATATTCAATATATTTCAAAATATATTTCAATAAATATATATATATATATATATATATATATATATATATATATATATATATATACACACACTGTATGCTGAAATGCGTTTCTTATTACAAAATATATGAAAAATATTTTTTAAAAATACATTTTCAAATATACTGTGTGTCTTTGAAAATACAAATCTACATTTTTGGAATGCATTTACAATCGTATGTAAAAATATATATTAAAATTACTTTTTTATATGTAAAAAAAAAATTGAAGGATATATTTAAAGAATATATATTTTTAAAAAATATTTTTCATATATTTTGTAATATATAAAAAAAACACATTTCAACATGCGATATATATATATATATATATATATATATATATATATATTTTTTTTTTTTAGTTATTGAAATATATTTTGAAATATATTGAATATGGCCAAAATTGTAGTATTTCAAATATATGTCAATATATTTGGGAGGAATATTTTAAAAATATATTTCAAATATATTTTTCTTCCATGTGGGTATGGAGCCGGCTTTGTGCGCAGTCAGACTGCAACAGGAAAGAACTTTCCCTAAACTGGTACCACAAGTTTGGAAGTACCAATAATATCATCATAATTCTGGATAACAATTTCAATAACTGAATGTAGGTGAAGGGATGGATGCTGCTCAACCGACCCCAGGAGTCCAATGTTGAGGAATGGTCTCATCTGCCGTTCTGACCACGCTCGCTGACACATTTTCCCCCTTCCCACCGGGGTTTTGGTCACAAAGGTCACCTCTGTGAACAAGGCCTGGTGGACGGGATGAAACACGTCTGAAGGTAAGGCCAGAACGGCTGCTGAGACCATTCCTCAACAGTGGACTCCTGGGGTTGGTTGAGCAGCATCCATCCCTTCACATGTATTTGCTGACACATTCCAGTGTCAGACTCAGGCTCCCCTCTTCTCACTTGCCGGTGGGGTCTTCTTCTTCCTTCCATCCATAGCTTGGAGCGGCCCCATAAGGTATACTTTTAAATGAATATATGTAATATTGATGTGATCTGCAGGTTATTTTACGGCGTTGTTTTAATCTTTGCAGGAGCCCATTATGGCAACCAACCTACATAAGGGAAAATAACTTTTTCCAGGCTCTCTGCTAATGATGGAGAAGGCCAAAGGACACGTGGCAGAGAGAATATTAAACCTCACCCTGGAGATCATGTATCTGCTGACTGGAGAGGTGAGGAGGATTCTGGGAGGTCACATGACATCACTCTCATCTCTATTAATAAAACACAGACCTAACTAGAGAGGTGAGGAGGATACTGGGAGGTCACATGACATCATCACTCTTATCTCTATTAATAAAATACAGACCTGAGAGGTGAGGAGGATTCTGGGAGGTCACATGACATCCCTCCTATCTCTATTAATAAAACACAGACCTAACCGGAGGGAGGTCACAGGAGGATTCTGGGAGATCACATGACATTTCTAGGTCACTCTTTTCTCTATTAATAAAACAGACCGGAGAGGTGAGGAAGATTCTGGGAGGTCACATGACATCACTCTTATCTCTATTAATAAAACACAGACCTGACCGGAGAGGTGAGGAGGATTCTGGGAAGTCACAGAGCTTCACTATTAGGAAAACACAGATATGGCTGAAAAGGTGATAATTCTTATTGGTCATCAATTTTAATACTTTAACCACTTCTCTACCCAGCACTTTTACCCCCTTCCTTCCCAGGCCAATTTTCTCACACTTTGAATGACAATTGCGCGGTCACGCAACAGTGTACCCAAACAAAATTTGTATAATTTTTGTCAGACAGATAGAGCTTTCTTTTGGTGGTATTTAATCACCTCTGGGATTTTTTATTTTTTTGCTAAACAAACAAAAAAAGACTGAACATTTTGAAAAAAAATGTTTTCCCATTTTAGTTTTCCTGTTAAAAAAAATTTGGTAAATAAGTAATTTTTCGCCTTCACTGATGTGCGCTAATGAGGCTGCAGTGATGGGCACTGATAGGCGGCACTGATGGACATTGACAGGCATCACTGAATGGCACTGAAAGGCAGCACTCATATATTATTATTATATACAGGATTTATATAGTGCCAACAGTTTGCTCAGCACTTTACAATATAACGGGAGACAATACAGCAACAATACAGTTCAATACAAGAGGGATAGGAGGGCCTGTTACTGGGAGCTTACAATCTAGGAGGGAGGGGCTAGTGGTACAAAAGGTAGTAACTGTGGGGGATGGACTGGTAGGAGGAGTAGAAGATTCCAGTTATTAGCTGAGGGCAGGATAGGTTTCCTTGAAGAGAGAGGATTTCAGAGATCGCTTAAAAGTGAGCAGAGTAGACGATAGTCTGTTAAATTGGGGTAGAGAGTTCCGGAGGAATGGGGGGGGCTCTGGAGAAGTCCTGGAGATGAGCAGGGAGGAGCAGACAAAGGATCTAGAAAACAGGAGGTCGTGCAAGGATCGGAGAGTACGGTTTGGGTGATATCTGGAGATATGGCACTGATAGTCGGCACTGATGGACACTGACTGGCACCGATAGGCGGCACTGATGAGCACTGATAGGCAGCACTAACACTGATAAGCAGCACTGATAGGCAGCATGGACTGGCACTGATATTTGGCACTGAAAGGCAGCTCTGATGGGCACTGACATGTGGCATTAATGGGCACTGACAGGTGGCACTGATGATCAGTGTAAATATCCCCTCTGAGGAATGCTGCTTACTAGCGCTCCTCTGCTCATGTGCTGTTAGCGGGAGGAGAGGACTGCCTATAACTGGCACAGTTGATCACATGATAGAGCCTACATCATCGGCTCTATTATGGGCATGCGCAGCTAGAGTTAGAGGACGCCATATGATGTCCTCCCAGAACGAGAGAACCGCCTCCCTCCTGTCATCTCCTTCTATGCCGGGCGTGAGGCGGTTAAGAATAGGTAGGCTAGTTTAGATGATGGTATAACTTGCTATTGTTCCTTATATTTTAGAATTATATCATTTTCAAGCTGTCAGATGGCTGGGTTTTACCAAATTTGAAAAAGACCCAGAGCCTCATGAGGGAACCTCAGCCAGACTTGCTGATACCCAAGGAAAACAATGACAAGAAAATTCTAGAAGTCGCCCAGAAGATCATTGAGTTGCTGACAGGAGAGGTGAGCGGTGCTGGGAATTCTGGGACATTATCCAGTAACAGACAGGGGATGTGTCTGGATGGTGACTGTATCATTGTGTGTGTCAGGTTCCTATAAGGTGTCAGGATGTCACTGTCTATTTCTCCATGGAGGAGTGGGAATATATAGAAGGACACAAGGATCTCTACAAGGACGTCATGATGGAGAACCGGCCGCCCCTCACATCACCGGGTAAGAGGAGACTTCCATTTCTTGTATTGAGGATCCACCTAGATACACACATCCTCTGATATAAAGACATAGAAACAATGGATTCAGTCAGTGTGTGTGTTTCCTACAGATGGATCCAGTAATGGGAACCCACCAGAGAGATGTCCCTGTCCTCTATATTCCCGGGACTCCACACAGGAACATCAGGAGATCCCTCAGGAGGATCAGGTAGATGGATCCAGTATTTGGAACCCACCAGAGAGATGTCCCCGTCCTGTGTATTCCTGGGACTCCACACAGGAACATCAGGAGATCCCTCAGGAGGATCAGGTAGATGGATCCAGTATTGGGAACCCCCCAGAGAGATGTCCCCGTCCTCTGTATTCCTGGGACTCCACACAGGAACATCAGGAGATCCCTCAGGAGGATCAGGTAGATGGATCCAGTATTGGGAACCCCCCAGAGAGATGTCCCCGTCCTCTGTATTCCTGGTACTCCACACAGGAACATCACGAGATCCCTCAGGAGGATCAGGTAGATGGGACAAACAGACTTAATAAAATATTTTTAATGAATGGTGTCACAGCTGTATAGTTCATAGCTGACAAAACGTATTATGTGCTTCTTTGATTTTTTTTCCAGAAAGAAGGTGCGAGGGATATTACGTTTGAAGGTGCACCTGTACTAGAAATGGATGTGATGGGTGATGTTTTGCGTAAGGTGGAGGAGATCCCTTCAGAGATCAGCACAGGTGAGTAATAAACACTAAATCCAGAGAAGAGTCCCAGATCCTCCTTGTTCAGTCACTACAACAATCTCTTCTTCTCCTCCCTCCTCTGTCAGTAGACAGTAATGGGAAGACAGTATGTGCCCAGTGGGGGACATAGAGGCTCTTATTTAGGTATTTCATTCTTTAGTTAAAGTGGTTGTAAACCTCAGACATAAAATATGAACAAAGCATATCCCACTATAGTGTGTACTTGTCTCAATCCAGAGCACTAAGTGTCATTTCTGTCTGCTGCCTTGATCCTCAGATATCAGCATCACTTCTGACAAGTTTTCCTGACACTAACATAAAAAAGGTGACGGGAAGGGACCTCCAGCACACAGCCTGTAATTGACAGTCTCAGCTGTGTTCCTGTGTGAAGGGGGGAAAGTGTCCCTTCCCTCCAATCAGCTCTCAGAGCTCTCCTCACTTAGTTCTGCAGTGTGTAACATCAGCTGTCAGCCCCTTTTTTTCTGAACTCCTATAAATGCAGCACTTTGAACGGATGTAGTGCAGAGAAGACTGCAGATAAACAGGTACAACTTATGTAAGTGGATTTGTTTAACCTCTGTGTATCACCTGAGGATAGTCCCTTTTTTGGGGTATATGTAAGGGCTCACAACCACTTTAAGTAACCCTTTGAATGTAAAGAGAGCTGCCTCTTGAATACAAATCAAAAAGAAAAACATTGAAAGAAGAATCCCATCTGTTGGTCATCTACTGTATCTTTCTAATCCAGGTAAGTAGTTCAGGGTGTCAGCATAGAGCCCTTCCCAATGCACTCTAACAGACCTTTGGTGTCACCCCTCACTTCCTCATTGCTACAGGTTGCATAAGAATGCTTATTATGAGGGTGTGTTGCTTATATATTTATACAAACATAGAGTGTTGGAGTGGGGGGGGGGGGGGGCAGGAGGAGTATTTCCAATAAAAGAGAAGAGTATTTTAACCACTTCAATACTGGGTCACCTATACCTCCTTCCTGTCCAGGCCAATTTTCAGCTTTCAGCACTGTCGCACTTTGACAATTGCGCTGTCATGCAACACTGTACCCATATGAAATTTTTATACACAAGTAGAGCTTTCTTTTTGTGGTATTTAATCACCACTGAGTTTTTTATTTTTTGCTAAATAAAAAACACCTGAAACTTTGAAAAATAACGCACTTTTCTTTGTTTCTGTTATAAAATTTTGCAACTAAATAACATTTCTTCATAAATTTAGGTCAAAATGTATTCCGCTATATTTCTTTGGTGAAAATAATAATAGTAATTGAATTTGTATTTTTTTTTTTCAAATGTTTCTATTATTTTTTTTATTACATTTCTTAAAGTAGAGCTCCTGCCACTTTTTACATTCTACAAAGAGTGAGAATGTTCATATCTTGTCAGGTTTTTACTATTGTGTTTGTCGCCACTTGGAGACTTTTAACTAAAAAAAAATTCCACTTTAACTATTCTTTATTCCTTCATTTCTATATCCCTCTAGAAGGACAGTATGGTGGGAATAACTTGGAAAAATGGACCATTAACTCCCTAGACGTTGAAACACATGATCACTTCATTTATGATCCTTCAGAAGAAAACCTCATTACCCCTAATCTCCATCCAGATTTGTCACATGGCAGAGATTTCGTTGATCACTCACTTCCTGTTATCCACCATACAGTTCAGAGTGCCACACCTGATGGAGAGAAGCCATATATGTGTTCTGAATGTGGGAAGTCCTTTACCCAGAAATCAAATCTTGTAGCTCACCAGAAGATTCACACGGGGGTTCGTCCATTTTCCTGTCCTGAGTGTGGGAAGTGTTTTAAACGAAACACCCATCTTGTCATCCACCAAAGGGTCCACACAGGGGAGAAGCCGTATTCATGTCTGCAATGTGGAAAGTCTTTTACTAGGAAACCCAATCTCATCTCTCACCAGAGAAGGCACACAGGAGAGAAGCCTTATTCCTGTTCTGTATGCCGGAAAAGGTTTTCGGAAAAAAAATTAAGCCTACTATGTGAGACATGAGAAGACTCACTCTGGTCACTTCCCTTATTCCTGCCCTCAGTGTGAGAAAGGCTTCGCCCATAAATCCGTTCTCATAACCCATCTGAAGAACCACACTGGGGCAAAGCCTTTTTCCTGCTCAGAATGTGGTAAGACCTTCAAGTTCCAGGCAAGTCTCACCAAGCATCAGAAAACCCACCAAGGAGGGAAGCCATATTCTTGTTTGGAGTGCGGACAATGTTTTGCAACAGAGTCACACTTCTTGAGGCACATGCAGATACACCCTAGTTCGGTGACATATTCAAGTTCCGAAAGTAGACAGTATGTTAAATCAGACTTTGTAAAGTGTGAGATGGTTTACAACTGAGGACTCATCCTGAATATGAAAGTTGCATTTATGTTTTTTTATGCTAGGCATCAGATAAGAAGATTTGAGTGCACAAAATATCAGATCTCAAAGACAATCAAGTCTCCTAGTTTGGAGACGGACCCCCAGAGTGGCCAGTGTGGATGAAAACTCGTGGCAACCAGGATACCTACCTTTTCAAACCATAAAAGTCATGAGAGGTTCCTCCCCGTGTTCCACAAGTAGGGTAAAGCAGCAGTGGCAATGGTGGTGTTGGAGTGGCAGTACTGAGGGGTAGGAGTGATGGCTTTGGAAGAGGAAAAGAATGTTGGCCTAGATCCTTACAGGAGCCCAAGCACACACTGGAGGAGGATAACGAGATCAGTAGGCTTCTCTGTACGTTCCATTTGTTGAATTCACAGCACATTGCAATCCATCAAAGCCTTTTTGGTTACAGCACTTCACCTTCTAATATTCTGAATCCTGATGTGTAGAGGATTACGGGAGGCTAGTACATAGACAAATCGAGGTATTATTGGAAAATACATTCATTAACAGTCATGACATGTAAACTCAACAGTATCCAGACGTCCTTCCTTCATTATGAGGCAGTTTGTTTTCAGCCATATTGCATATGTAGCTAGCTGGAGTTCAGGCTTACTTAACCTGGCCATGCAGCAGATATTTTGTTCGATTCCAGTTGAATTGAATGAAATTCAAGTTGTGGGTCACCCTGTCAGCACCCTCCAGCTCAACAAACTTCTGTTGAAATAATCGAAGAAGCATGGAGGAAAATCTGTATGCCAAACAGTGACTGCGCTAAATCAGCTGCAGAACCTTCACAGGAGATTCCTTAATTTACACCAGGGGTCTCCAAACTGAGGTCCTTTGCTTGCCTTTATCTGGCCCTTGGGGCACTATTCCTCCCACTGACACCAATGATGGGACACTATTCCTCCCACTGACACCAATGATGGGACACTATTCCTCCCACTGACACCAATGATGGGACACTATTCCTCCCACTGACACCAATGATGGGACACTATTCCTCCCACTGATACCAATGATGGGGCACTATTCCTCCCACCGATACCAATGATGGGGCACTATTCCTCCCACCGACACCAATGATGGGGCACTATTCCTCCCACTGATACCAATGATGGGGCACTATCCCTCCCACTGACACAAATGGTAGGGCAATAATTCCTGCACTGACATCAATGATGGGGCACTATTTCCTACTGACACCAAGGATGGGGCACTATTCCTCCCACTAATACCAATGATGGGGCACTATTTCTCCCACCGACACAAATAATAGGGCAATAATTCCTGCACTGACATAAACGATGGGGGACTATTCTTCCCACTGACACAAATGATAGGGCAATAATTCCTCCCACTGACATCAACGATAGAGCACTATTACTCCCACTGACATTAATGATGGGGCACTATTCCTCCCACTGACATCAATGATGGGGCACTATTCCTCTCACTGACACCAACAGTGGGACACTACAGTATTCCTCCCACTGACATCAATGATGGGACACTATTTCTCCCACTGAGACCAATGATGGGGAACTATTCTTCCCACTGACACCAGCAATGGGGCACTAATTCTCCCACAGACACCAGCAATGAGGCACTAATTGTCCCACAGACACCAGCAATGAGGCACTATTCCTCCCACAGACACCAATGATGGGGCACTATTCCTCCTACAGACACCAATGATGGGGCACTATTCCTCCTATTGACACCAATGATGGGGCACTATTTCTCCCACTGACACCAATGATGGGGCACTATTCCTCCCACTGACACCAATGATGGGGCAATATTTCTCCCACTGACACCAATGATGGGGCATTATTCCTCCCACTGACACCAATGATGGAGCACTATTCCCACTGATACCAATGATGGGGCACTATTCCTCCCATTGACACCAATGTTGAGCACTATTCCTCCCACTGATACCAATGATGGGGCACTATTTCTCCCACCGACACCAATGGTAGGGCACTATTCCTCCCACCAACACCAATGATGGGGCACGATTTCTCCCACCAACACCAATGATGGGGCATGATTTCTCCCACAGACACCAGTGATCGGGGCACTAAACCAGCCGTACAGGAATGAACATTCGTCTGGTTCAGTACAAACCGGCTGAATTTTTATCTGTCTATGGGCAGGCTGGTCATAATGAAGTCAATCAACTTCAGTACAAAAAACTGATCACCTGCCCAGGTCTATAACTGGCTTTTTAAACAGTGAACATGGAGGGCGTCACTATGTGAAAGATTCAAAAATAGAACTATCCAGTTCAACTTGCCAGCCTACCCCAGTCTAATCACGGCTATTGTCGGCAAGGAACATGGATATGTATAACTTATCAACAGAGGGGGATAAGAAAATCCAGTTCAATCTGCCAGCCAGTTGGCCAACTATCAAAAACCAAATTAACCTATCTAGAAACATGCGTTTAAAAACAGGGGTTTAGTTAGCACACATTTGCAAATACATACGTAAGCCACAGAGCCACGTCACGGCACCCAGAGTATCTGTGGTCCTAACTCTATAAATCTAGAGATCTAGAGTACAACCAGTCTGTCGGTGTTGCCTGCTGAACAGTGACTATAGCTGCCCTCAGTGATCATTGTACTTTGCCGGAGGAGAAGGTTCCCCATGCTCCCCGCCTGCGGAAGGGATTCCCCCATTAACATTGATTGTGTTGATGGGCAAATAGAGCAATTTTCTTTCCTTCAAGCCATTGCTGAAAGAAAGAAAATTGCATAATGTATGCAATCGTATCAGGGGTGCCATATTACCACTGACTCCGGGGACCACTAGGACAGGCATAGATTAATGATCTCTTGCAGCTTAAGTGCAATGGCCCAGTGAATATATGGATAGTATCCTAAAGCCTTGCTGCCCTCTAAGACTGGGGATGTCCTGTAGCCACTCGAAGAGAAATACAGAAAAAAGATGGTGCACCGGCCTAGTACATCATCCAACAAGTTTTTATTATAAATAAAGAAAAAATTATTCACAAGCATAGGAGTTAAAAGCACTTATCAAGCCTCACATACGTGACTACATGTATCCAAAGAGGACACTTTCCAAAGCATAGGTGGATTCACACAAGGGTCTCTGCAGACTGACGCGTTTCGAAGGAGTAGCCTTCCTCCTCAAACCCTTCCTCAGAGCCCGCATGGAAGAAAAAATATATTTAAAATATATTTTTAAAAAATATTCTTCCCAAATATATTGACATATATTTGAAATACTACAATTTTGGCTTTATTCAATATATATACACATACATACACACTGTATGTTGAAATGTGTTTTTTATATATTACATGATAAATGAAAAATATTTTTAAAATATATTCTTCAGATTTTTTAACATATAAAAAAGTCATTTTAACATATATTTTTACATATATTTGTAAATGCATTCCAAAAATGTAGATGAAATGTATTTTTGAGGACATACAGTATATTTGAAAATGTATTTTTAAAAATATTTTTCATATATTTTGTAATAAAAATGCATTTCAACATACGGCCAAAATTGTAGTATTTCAAATATATGTCAGAAGAATATTTTTAAAATATATTTCAAAAATATTCTTCCCAAATATATTGACATATATTTGAAATACTACAATTTTGGCCTGCTCTCTCTCTCTCTCTCTCTCTCTCTCTCTCTCTCTCTCTCTCTCCCTCCACACACACTGCATGTTGAAATGCTTTTTTTATATATTTACAAACTATATGAAAAATATTTAAAAAAAATAGATTTTTTTAGATATATTCTTCAGATTTTTTTTTAACATATAAAAAAGTCATTTTAACATATATTTTTACATATATTTGTAAATGGATTCCAAAAATGTATTTTTAAAGACATACAGTACAGGTGAAACTTGAAAAATTAGAATATGGTGCAAAAGTTCATTTATTTCAGTAATGCAACTTAAAAGGTGAAACTATTATATGAGATAGACTCATTACATGCAAAGCAATATAGTTCAAGCCGTGATTTGTCATAATTGTGGTGATTATGGCTTACAGCTCATGAAAACCCCAAATCCACAATCTGAGAAAATTTGAATATTACATGCAATCAATAAACCAAGGATTGTACATAGAACAATATCGGACCTATGAAAAGTATAAGCATGCATATGTACTCAGTACTTGGTTTGGGCCTTTTTTGCAGCAATTACTGCCTCAAAGCAGCGTGGCATAGAAGATATCAGCCTGTGGCACTGCTGAGGTGTTATGGAAGATCGGGATGCTTCAATAGCGGCATTCAGCTCTTCTGCATTGTTCGGTCTCATGTCTCTCATCTTTCTCTTGGCAATGCCCCATAGATTCTCTATGGGGTGTTCAGGTCAGGCGAGTTTGCTGGCCAATCAAGCACAGTAATTCCAAGGTCATTGAACCAGGTTTTGGTGCTTTTGGCAGTGTGGGCAGGTGCCAAGTCCTGCTGGAAAATGAAGTCAGCATCCCCAAAAAGCTTGTCTGCGGAAGGAAGCATGAAGTGCTCCAAAATCTCCTGGTAGATGGCTGCGTTGACCCTGGACTTAATGAAGCACAGTGGACCAACACCTGCAGATGACATGGCTCCCCAAATCAACACAGACTGTGGAAACTTCACACTGGACTTCAAGCATCTTGCAGTGTGTGCCTCTCCATTCTTCCTCCATACTCTGGGTCCTTGGTTTTCAAATGAGATGCAAAAGTTGCTCTCATCAGAAAAGAGGACTTTGGACCACTGAGCAACAGACCAGATCTGGTTTTCTTTAGCCCAGGTAAGACGCTTCTGACGTTGTTTGTTGTTCAGGAGCGGCTTGACAAGAGGAATACGACATTTGAAGCCCATGTTCAGGATCAGTCTGTGTGTGGTGGCTCTTGATGCACTGACTCCAGCCTCAGTCCACTCCTTGTGAAAGTCCCCAACACTTTTGAATGGCCTTTTCCTGACAATCCTT